CATATATTGTCCATCTTTGCATATCACCGATATCTAGCATATATGCATTGCAAATATATTTTAATAAGTCTAGCTTTTCAGTTTCCAATATTGATTTTTAAAAAACTTTTAATCTCAGTTCAAGACTATACAAATATTTTCCTAAAATTTCTAATATTGTTAAACTTTTAATTCATATGGGATTTATTTTTGTAAATGGTGAAAGGTGCAGGCACACTTCCTTTTTCTTCTAGATGAATAGCCCCTTAGGCCAGAAATATTCATTAACCATTCTTTCCTCATAAATACTCAGATCTCTTTCTGGACTCTCATTTTTGTTCTGCTGATCTTTGTCTATTCCTGTGTGATAATTCTGAATTATCAAGAGTGACTTGGATAACAAATGCAAAGATAAACCAATATTTTTTTAAATAATAGTTTAAAACCTTGCCTCATAAAGGATGCTACATTGTCTCCCCACTTTTACCCCACCCCACCCCACCTCAATCCACCTCCCATAATAACCTATAACATATAAACATAAATCACGCCATGTCCCTACATCCTGTTTCTAAACTAGTCAATGGTGCGCTCTTGCTCTTAAAATAAAATCCAGCACTCCACATAATCTGCTCGTCTATTTCTCCATTATTATCTTGTGCCACTCTCCTCACTGGCCGTGCTTTGTTCCTTGCACATACCTTGTTCCCAACTACCTCACAAAAATTGCATATATTGTTCCCTCTGCTTCAAATGCTCTTCCATGTACAATTTACCCAGATAACCTCTATCATTCTTCAGTTGTCAGCATAAATTTCCACTTCCTTTTCCGCTCCACCCTTGACTGATGCAATACTAAATATTACATTATTTCAAAGAACCCTGAATTTTTTTTTAGAACATATTCATAGCTAATAATTATATTGCTGATTTTAAATTTATTTAATACCTCTCTCTTGTAAGAAAGAAACTAAGTCTCATGAGAACATAGCATTTCTGTTTTGATCACCATTGCACAGCCTCAAAAATTTGTTGCATAACTGAATGAATGTCTTGAAATGATATTTCTTTTCTCCATACCCATTTTAGAGAAGAGCTAGAAATTACAGACAGGGTCAAAAAGTATAAGAGGACAAGAAGTGTAGATAATTGAGAAATTAGAGAACATCTGTCTAAACAAGTATTTGCTAAAAAGAAAAAAAGATAGAAAAGCATAAAATAAGGAAACTAACCCTGGAATTTTTAAGCTTCTGGACTGTATCTTTCATTTTTTCTTTATAATTCTTTAGCTTCTCTGGAGAATCCACAATTTTTGCTTTCAAACTCTCTTGTACTTCTTTCAAAGAAGCCACGGACAATTTTAGTTCATTCTGTTGAGAAAACATTTTTATATATTAGATAGAATAATAAAATTGGTGATTTTCCATCCCAATAATGGAAAAGAACAAAGAAATGAGATCGATGTTTGCTGTAGTGGGGGTTAAAGTAAACCAACTACATCACTTCCCTGCTCAATTGCTCACGTTTGTCTTTGTCTACAGGCCAGAGGTCAAGCTCCTTAGCATGACATTCAAGGTCTTTCATTATTTGGCTCTTACTCTTCTTTCCAGTCTCATCTCCACCAGCTCCCTATTGAACTCTAAATTTTGGCAATAGTAGTCTTACGTTTGGACAATTAGAAGTGCTCTCTCTTAGATCAACATGACCCTCCTAGAATATCGTGATCCTACTACCTAGTGAATTTCTACTGATCTTTGAAAATCCTGTTCCCACTTCCTCTATATTCCTTCTATAAACATTGTAATTATTGTACATGTAACATTATACTACAATTACATATTTCATGTGTCTTTCCTAATTGACTGAGCAACTTAGTGGTGTGAACAGTTATCTTTGTTCTCTCTGAACTGAACATAGTCATAGCACTGAGAAGGTGCTCAATGCTGTTGAGTCAAAACAAATTCCCTTCTTGTCCTGATTTTCAAAAGTAAATGTAACCATTTGGTGACTTAAGGTGAAGAGTATCTGGGAATTCTCTTAAAACTTCTGTGTTAATGTGGAATTATGCAAAAAAAAAAAAAAAAAAATCATATGAACCCCTTTCCCAAATATGTGTTGATAAACCATATTTACATTGCATTCGGATACTCCATGACTCTATGTACTGACATGGAAAGATTTCCAAGAAATATTAATAAAAAAAGAAATTCATAGATCAACTAGAACACCAACTGATTTCTATAAAAACAGAACAACAAAATCATGGCACATATCTATATACATCTCAATATACGCATGAAATGTCAAGGAAAAAGGACGAAGGGTGTCACCTCTAGGTGGGGAAGAGGGCTGAGAGAAGACCTTTCCTGTCTAACTCTATACGCCATTTAAGTATTTGATAACAGGAACGTATTACTGTGCTGCTTGTGGAATTTCTATACTTCTTTTTTAAAGATACTCCTCTAGATCAGCCACTCAGAGGCCAAAATTGAACACTCTAGTTCTGTTATTTTGTTCCTAGCATTTAGCAAATCATCACACTATCTACTCTCTTAATGCCCTACAAAATTAGAAATCATTTTCCTTACAACAGCATTGACTTTCATAACTTTTCTTCCCTTGTGAAAAGCCTAAACTTGATATTATAAAGTGATTTTGCTTTAACCTAGTTTTAAATGGAACAGAAAAACAAAACAAAAAACCAAAAAAAGAATAATCAGTGTCACTCAGATGGAAGCATTTATCAACAAGAAAAGAGTGGTAGAAAAATAAGGGATATGTTATATCAAAATAAATTCCAGATGAATCTAAAGTGTTAAAATAATAGGGAAATGGACTTGTATCAAGATATACAAAGAACACTTAAAACTCAACAATAAGAAAACAAACAACCTACTTACAAAATGGGCAAAAGATCTGAACAGAAATCTCACCAAGATATACAGATGGCAAATAAGCATACGAAAAATGCTCAACATCATACAACGTTGTTGTTATTGCATGTTGTCGAGTCGATTTCGACTCACAGCTACCCTATAGGACAGAGTAGAACCGCGCCATAGGGTTTCCAAGGAGCAACTCGTGGATTTGAACTGCTGAACTTTTGGTTAGCAGCCTGAGCTCTTAACCACTTCACCATCAGGGCTCTCATATACCATTGGGAGCTAGAAATCAACACGACAATGAGATACCACTACACACTCATAGACAGAATAAGATCTAAAACAGGGCAACATGTTAACAGGAGAAACATGGGCAGGGGAAAGAGCTATAAGAGAGCTCTCTGTACTCTCTGCACAATTCTTCTGTGAATCTAAAAAAGTTCTAAAAAATAAAATCTATTAAAACAAACAAGCAAACAAACAGGGAAACCATAAAATTACAATGAGAAACTATGGGATTAAAAATAATAATAATCTGAAGAATGGGACAGGCCTTCCTACATATAGAATTAAGACCAAAAACCATAAAAGGCCAGATCTATAAATTTTACTATATAAAAACATAAACTTCTGATAGGAAAAAATTATCAATTTGGAAGAAAAATAGTCAATATCCCTAATTTAAGGAGTTTCTTAAAAATTAAATTTAGCAAGTACACAAATAGTTTACAAAATAAATACCAACAACTACTGAATAAGACACTCAAAATCACTACAAATGGGAATAAAAATTAAAATGAGGGTTTTTTTTCCTATAAGAGTGACAAAAACTAAAAACAAACAAACAAAAAACCCATAAACAAATACACAATTAAAAATACTCAATTTTGGCAAGGCCACGGTACACCCTCATATTATGTTGGTCGGAATGTAAATTGGTATCTTTCCAGAAGTCAGTTTGGCAATGTGGTATATTTTAAATGTGTATTTACTTTGACTCAGAAATCCTGCACTTAGGTATTTATCCAAAGATGAAAAGCAGCAAGGTGCACAAACATATATGTACATGTGGTATATGTTTGTAACATACTTATATACATATTTATGTTCAATAGCAAAAACGTTGGAAGCAATGTGAATGTCCACTAATAGTGGATCTGAAAGATCTGTATTATGGTACATACATACAAGGCACCAATATATGCTGCCATTAAAGAGTGAGGATCTATA